GCACCTTTGTCAAAGATCAGTTGACAATATTTATGTAGGTCTATTTCTGAGATTTCTGTTCTATTCCATTGGCCTATTATTTTGTCAATACCACACTGCTTAGATTATTGTAGCTTTATAGTATGTCTTGAAGTTGGGTGTCAGTCTTCCAACTTTGTTCTTCTCCTTCAATATTGTGTTGGCTATTCTAGGCCTTTAGCTTCTCCATATAAATATTAGAATCATTTTGTCAATATCTGCAAACTAAGTTGCTGGTATTTTGATTTGGATTTCACTGAATCTATACATCAATTTGGGAAGAACTGACATCCTGCCAATACTGAGTCTTCCTATCCATGAATACGGAATATGTCTTTATTAACTTAGTTTTTCTTTGATCTCATTCATCAGAGTTTTGTAGTTTTACTCATATACATATTGCACATAATTTGCTGTGTTTATACCTAATTATTATATTTGGGGTACTAATATAGATGTGTTTTTTTTGTTGTGTTTGTTTGTTCTTGTGGTACGTGGGCCTCTCACCGTTGTGGCCTCTCCCGTTGCGGAGCACAGGCTCCGGACGCACAGGCTCAGCGACCATGGCTCACGGGTCTAGCCACTCCGTGGCATGTGGGATCCTCCCAGACCGGGGCACGAACCCGCGTCCCCTGCATTGGCAGGTGGACTCTCAAGCACTGCACCACCAGGGAAGCCCTAGATGTGTTTTCTTCCATTTCAAATTTGACTTGTTCATTGGGATATATAGGAAAGCAGTTGACTCATATGTATTTATATCCAGCAATATTGCTATTATCACTTGTTTAGGAGTTTGTTGATTCTTTCAGATTTTGTACATATATTATCATGTCATCTATGAACAAAAGACAGTTTTATGTCTTCTTCCCAATCTGTGTACCATCTATTTTTTTTTCTTGTCTTGTGCATTCACTAAAACTTTCAGTACATTGATGAGAGTGTGCAGCTTTGTGTTGTTCCTTATCTTAAAAGAAGAACTTTCAGCTTTTCACTGTTGAGTATGATGTTAGCAGTGGGCTTGTCAAATATGGCCTTTATTATGTTGAGGTACATTTCTTCTATACCTAATTTGTTGAGTTTTTATCTTGAAAAGATTTGAATTTTTCAAATTATTTTTCTTCATTTATTGAGATGCTAATGTGATTTTTATCCTTCATTTTGTTAATGTGGTGTGTCACATATTGATTTCTGTGTGTTGACCCATACTTGACTCCCTGTCCAAGCATGGCTGTAAGATGGGCTCCATTGCTGGCTGGGTTCTCGGGCCAGGCTTCCTGGTCAGATGAGACTATAGGCTATACTCAGCAGTTGTGTAGGGCTATGAACTTGCTTCCCTGCCCATACAAGGGACTCCACAGCCTAATGGTTCATTGGCTGAGGACCCAAATCTGGCAGAACTGTCAACCAAGCTCTCTGGCTAGACGTGACCACCAGCACAGCTCTGCAGATGGGAAGAGTCACTGGCTAGGATGCCTGCTTCAGCACCAC